GCCCAACCTTCCTTCCGAGGAGTGGCTGGTGGGTTTGAACCGCCAGCCTTCTGGTTAGCAGTCAAGTGCCTTAGGCACTATGTTACCAGAGCTCTGAGGTCCAGTAATTAAAGGATTAATGCCCGCCCCAGCAGGAGGTCTCTAAGACTAAGCCTGTCCCCATTTTCAATGATTGTCAGATACACTGACTGTTCCCTTAGTTTTAGGTATATTAACACATGAGCCATTATCTACCCATGTGATTCTGAATAAGTATGCATCCAACCATGTGGGTCTGTATTTGTCTGTGTATGTGTGTGTGTATGTGTTTGTGTATTCATGTGCAGAGGGCATTACCAGAAAATCATGATAGTTTCTGCTTGGAGTGTTTAACATTCACTGTTTCTGAGACTCATTGTGTCCTTGGAGCCAGTTATCAGAGCACTGGGTCTTCCTTCTCTCTGGCCTGGGGATGGCTGTGGCTCCCTTCCCAACTGCAAAGACTAAGCCACGGCAGCTGAGCTCTACTCTTGGGGCTTTCTTAATTTCCCTCTATCCCTTTTTACCATCTTCATCTTTCATACTCACAGGGGCAGAGTGCTTTGCAGTTTCTAGAATGTCCTATGTAGGTCACCTCATCTGCCCCTCAGAGGAGCCCATTGAGTAGGCATAGCAGGTAGTTCTAAGTTGGGTGGCTATTGTTGTTCTAGCAATACCATGGAGGAAGGTGCACCCTAAAAGCTGCTGGTGGGGCAGGCTTGGGGCTCATGGCAGGTCATCAGGATAGGCACCACCCAACCAAGGGTCCATGCGTCCGTCAGGTCCCATCAGGCTGGTACTGGCTATCATGGGGCCAGTGGGGAGTCAAAGGGTCTAAGGTGCAGGTAGATGCCAGGGTCTTAGATCCAGGGAGGTTGTTGTAAATCAATTGCAGGGACCAACCAACTGCTAGTGCCACCCAGAAAGAGGGCCCTGTCCAGAGGCTGTGATCTTGTCAGAAGGTCATGCTAACTAGTGTGGACATGAATCTATGGGGCCATTGTATGGATTCCAGGATCCACAGACCCAGCCAGGCTGACTTTTGTATTGCCCTTACTCTTTTCCAGATACTACCTATCCTCAGTTGTTTGTATGCCACATGAGGAGGGTCCTATAAGATCCCTGCTAATCAGATGAAGATATCTAGGTGCTGAGATGCTGAGGGACCTGCCAAGGATCACGTAGTGGGGGAGGGACACAGAGGTTTGAGCTTCACCTGCTCACTCTCCCTGCTCTCATTTGACCATTATGTAGTGAGGACCTGGGCTACACAGTGCTCTGGGCCTTCCCAGGACTCAGCCCAAGCACTGACCCCTGACCCTTTTGCTGTAGTGCTGCATAATTTTCCAGGGAACACCTTTCGAGTCTTTCACTGCCTCAGGCATGAATGGTCAGGAAAGGTGGTCTGAAACCAAGGCCCAGTGAAACTGTGACTTGCTTCAGTTCACTCAGCAAGAGGTATTGGGAGAGGACCCAGTATCCCAATTCCCAGACCATATTCTTTATACTACAGCCTACTGGTGGCCTGCAGAAGCCTCTTGGGAGTCCACTACTTGCTCATATATGTTTTCTATTGAGAAAGCAATAGATTTCTGTGATCTAGAAATGTGTTTTCTTCCAGTCACACTTCCATCACCTTTCCCTGGGACTTGTGCCCTGTTGCAGAGTGGCCCCTTGGTGAACTGGCATTAAAAACATCCATCTTTCTGACCTGTTTGTAGAGCACTGGAGCTCAGCGGTGGCAAAGATGAGATCTCCCTGTTGGTGGAGCAGGAGTTCTTGAGCCTCACTAAAGAGAACCTCATCCTGGTCAAAGAGAGCTCAGGTGAGCTTGAGACACCTGGTGGCTCTCCTGAGGGGAAGAGAGAACTGACTCCCTGCATTCTTAAACCTCCTCTGGCAGCAGAAAGCACTGAGCTCCCTGGAGACTACATCATCACCAGTGACAAGCTTCTGGAGCCAAAGGTGGCCGTGTCCGTTATTGGCAGCCAGCAGAGCTGTGACTCTGCCATGTCTACGGTCACGGGCATTCTGCGCTCTGCCAAGGTCAAGAGTGCCAAGGGGACAGAAGATAGGGGCCACAGCCTGGGAACCTCAGAGATCAGCAAGCTCCTGGCCCAGTTTCCACTAAAATCCACTGAAAGTAAGGTTCCCAACAACAAGATGGTGCTGGAAGAGACAAGGGTCATAAAGGACTTCCTGCAGAACAGCATGTTCAGTGGCCCTGGACCCAAGGAGTCAGCGGGGCTGGGTGCATTTCTGCTGCTGCCACCCGCACCTCCTCTTGCACCTTTGGACAAGCTCCCTGAGCTCCCTACTCAGAAGAGGCAGCTCCCGGTGTTTGCCAAGATCTGTTCCAAACCCGAGGTGGACCCTGCCATGGAAGGTCATCACTTGATGGGTGAGTGTGGCTAGGAGCAAGTAGAGAGAGCAGGGCTGCCAGGAAGCCCACCAGGGCTGCAGCAAGTGCTTAAAATACCTTTGGGCAAATTAGGAAAAAGCAGTCCCTTTGGTGGACACAGCTCCAGGTGCATATTGACAGGCTGTGTTCAGCCCCCGTGTGCTCCTCTGCTGGTTGTCCATACAGGGTATAGTTTGCATAAGCATATATGGAGACCCTGGTTCAACATGCTTTGAGAAGAAAGATAGGCATTGTTTGAGATATGGCTAATTTTTTGAATTTACCAGCTATCCAGAGTGCTTTGAAAGAAGGGTTTAGCCCAGCTGGATCCTGAGAAAAACTGCAGCAGAGGCATTGAAGGCTGGATAGCAGAGAAATTTTATTGGCAGCTGGGAGTATTTAGCTTCCAACAGGGGTCCATGGAGGCACCTATTCTGGCAATGAGGCCTGGAACAGTGGGATGGGTGGCTAAACTCTCCAGAAACAATTCAGACTGTTGGCTTTGGGATGTGTTCCCAGTACACTTAGAAAAGTACATTCCCATCCTATAATTGAGGCATCTTTTTCATTAAGTCCAGTCCGTTCCCACATTTCTCCTGCCCTACTCCCAGGATTCTGCATTTTGTGACCATTGTGATCCAACCACTCACACTGGATAGTTCAAAGGCAGACTGATGGCAGGGGCCTTTGCCTAGAGTCAGCAATGAGTAGTAGGGCAGATCATACCCACATCAACCAAAACAAAAATTATCCCCAGGCTGTGAGCATGGATGGGAGAGATGGGAGAGTGAGAGATGACCGTATTGGGGAGGGTCCAAATCCATTTCCTTAAGAAAATAGGAACAAGGTCACCTGACAGAACATTCTGGAGCACTGTAGGAAGACCAAGGAATTAGAGTTATGGACAGGAAGCTGGACTCTGGGTCTGACAGACCAGAGGGCTGTTTGGGGATGATGAGCTGTGGGCATGAGAGGACTGAACCCTGTCCAGAGTGAAGAGACTTTCCTCCCACATCTTTCTCCAAGAGGGACATGTAGATGCCTCTCTATCTGATTTGGCTATTGGGTTTGAGATAGCCTTGCCTTCCCCATCGTGTGTGTGTGTGTGTGTACATGTGTGTGCAAAGGTGTGCCAAAGGCAACTTTGCAGATGTGAGAGTATTTGTTAGAGAAAACTGCAAGTATGGGTGCATCTCAGGGTGTCTGTGTGTACATGTTTTTGCATATATCTGTCCTGTATGTGTCTGTGTACCTGTGAGTGCATCAAAGGAAACTGCAGGACTATGTGGTTGTGTGTACGTGGACTTTGGAAGAGAGTTCTTTGTAAATGAGGGAGCAGGTAAGCATATTTGAGGCAACTGTAGGTGTGTGAGAGAGAATCTCTGCAGGTGTGTGAATCTCTGGGGAGATGGCTATTATTAGTGAGTATTGTTATTTCAGCACACTGGCTGGGGGCTAAACTCAGCAACCAGAGAAACTCTTGGAAGAGACTCTAGGGACATATTTTGCTAAAAATGTCATTTTCTCCTAAACTGGCTCAGGCAAGAGCAGCTCTTCCCTTTGCTAGCATGGTGCTAGGAGAGCAGGCCCAGTCCCACCTAGACTACTGGGCCAGGCTGGGGCCAAGAGCTGGTGAGATCAAGTCCACTCCCAACAGGTAACTCCGGGGCACAGGTCCCCTGATCAGGTCTCTAACAAAGAGGTTCTAAGTGCCTATTGTGTATCTAGCATGATGTACAACCATCCAGTTGGCCATCCGGGTTTCTAGCCAACCTCTGTGGAGATTTTCAAGGACCATAAGTCTGGACAAGGAGTGAAGGGGGTTGTGGAGGGGGGCAATTCCTTCTTCCTTGCTGCTACCAGAGCAATGCCTTAAAAAATAATTTTATAACTATTTCTTCATACACACTCACACTTAATTTTGTTCTATGAGAGTTTCATTGCTAAAAAAGAGATAGGTGTGTGGAAACCATTGCTGTGGAGGATCCCATGATGGTCCAGATAGGGAAATGCTCAGTGTTTTTTGGAGAGAGATCTGGGTCTGGCACTCCCATTTCTTCGGCCATGCCCAATGACTCACTATGTCTTTTTTCATTTTCCATGCCTTTGGCTATAGTTGCCCTGCCTGGTGTGCTTTCCTCCCCTGTACCCCTGCATGTAAGGCCTTGCTGAAACCCCACGTCCCCTAGAAGCCTTCTGGCCCTCTCAGACAGAAGTGGTCTCAGCCACCCTCTTCTCCCACTGTATCCCTCTGTCACCTCACAATCCCCATCTGCTTTGTTCCAGAGCTATTTCTAGATACGTCTCTCTCTTCCTCTTGTCGTAAGCTCCTGTAGGGAAGAAAGAGTCTGGCTCTGACTCATCACAGTGTCCCCAGCCCTCGGGTCAGGGCCTGGCATTGAAGAGTGAGTGCCAGTGAGCACTGGCTGAACTGCCTATGAGCAATGAGACAAGAGTAGAGCCCATGACAAGTAGCCTGACTGTGTGGCTCAGATCAAATGTCCTGTAGGAATGTGTGTCTGTTCTGCTAACCCATAGGCTCCCTGAAGGCAAGAACTGTGTCCAAGTAATCTTTGTATTGCCAGTATTTAGCTCAGGGCTTGTTACTATTGAATGGATAGATGGTTGGAAGGAAGGGACGAAGGAGAGGTGGGAGGAAGGAAAGGGGATAGGGAAGAAAGGGAGGAAGGGAGGGAGGGAAGAAGGGAGGATGAAGGGAGGGAAGAAAGAAGAAGTTTGGATGAAAGAAGGAATGATGGAGGGCAGGATGAATGAGTAGATGGAAGGAAGGAAGAAATGAAGGATAGCTGGATGGATGGTTGGACTGCTGAATGGATGGATGAATGAAAGAGAAAGACCAGAACAGGCAGTGGTCATGGAAGGCTTTAGGTAGGAGACTGAGGCTGGCTTTGCCTGGAAAGAGTGAGTGGAGAGAGTCTCCCAGAGTGGCCTGAGCCTCAGATGTGTGCGAGGGAGGATCCATCACTTAGTTCTTAAGAAGGTGCTCCTCACATGCAGCACTTGGCCTTCCCAGGGCACTGACTCAGTTTCCTTCTGCTCTAGAACTGAACCCTGGCACCAAGGAGCTGACCAAGGGTCGAGAGAGCCTCTTTCTCAGTCAGTGGCCCCAGAGCAAGAAGGACAGCTGTGGTGAAGAGGGTTGCAGTGACCCAGTGAGCACCATGTCCATGGCCCTGCCAACCAAGAAGCCTGCTTGGCCGGCTGAGAAGAACCTGCTCTATGAGTTCCTTGGAGCAACCAAGAACCCCAGTGGGCAGCTGAGACTTCATAGCAAAGTGGAGATGGATGGGCTGGAGCTGAAATGTAAGCTGACCCTACCCAGGGAGGATCTGCAGAGGAGCCCAGAACCCTCATATGCCCCTGGGGGGCTCTGCCAGCAAATGGCTGTCCCCTCCAAGGGCAAGTCACTGTCTTTCTCCGGGTGTCAGCTTTTAAATTTACAAAATAAGGAAATGACTTTCTCCCCACATTTCTTATCAGTAATACAATAGCTAGAGAAATGAGGTTGGCTCTCTAGAGTCACATGGGCATTATTAGTGGTTTTGAATACAGTTTTGAATACAGTCCTGACCTAGCATATATCATATTCTGTCAAGTTGCCAAAGAAAAGTCCATAGATTATTTTTAGATTGAGATTATTCAAACCCCTGCTTTCTCTCCCTTGTCTTTCTACAATTGGTATCAATTGCCTCAGCTGATTGCGCCTAATGTCCTTAGGGAGCCTGCTTTAATAATTTGATAAGAATGAATTCCTGTGGCATAGCAATTGTTTGTATAAAACTGGATTTTTCTCAGGCACTTGAAAGAATTTGGTTTTGTAAATAGAGGAAATATAGTCCTAGCAATCTGGTTTATTGTATCCCTTTCTAAACTGCCTCCATCATTAGAGAATGATGGAAAAAAGAGCTCCAAGCCAGACCATGTCAGGATTTTTACGCATTCCAAATTGGCAAGGTAGGAATAATAATGTTTCCCCTTAGTTGGAAATAAGGAGCTCTGGTGGTGCAGTAGTTAAATCAGCTGCTAACCAAAAGGTTGGCAGTTCAAACCCACAAGCTGCTCCATGGGAGAAAGATGGAGCAGTCTGCTTCAGTAAAGATTTACAGCCTTGGAAACCCTATGGGCAGTTCTACTGTGTCCTATAGGGTCATTATGAGTCAGAATCAACTTGATGGCAGTGGGTTTGGTTTTGGTTATAGATGGAAATTTACCAGAACTTTGAAGAATCTTCTTAGAACTCCGGGAACCTAACCTCTATGAGAACATTCATTTCTGGGGCAGTTCTGGTGCTGATGGCATCCTGGCCCTTCCCTGCCTCAGACACTGAAACACTTCTCCTGTAAACTTACAGTTAACCCACCTGTAACAGTGGCAGACAAGAACAACAAGTATACAGGGAACGTCTTCAACCCACGCTTTGCCACAGCCTTGACCTCAGCAACCCTCAATCAGCCACTCTGGCTCAACATGAACTACCCACCTCTGCCGGTGTTCACAAATCACTCCACCTTCCCACAGTATCAGGTGAGTGAGTGAGTAATGAGTCTCGCTCCCCATGTGGCCACCCACACAGGGTCTGACTGTGGAGGAGGGTGGCTTGTAGGGAGCCCATTTCATAGAGAGATTTAGATGTCCCTTGAACTCCATCCCTATATTCCAGAGCCTTCATTGGAACTACAGTAAATAAATAACTATGAATTTACAAGTTTTTTTTTTTTTTTTCCATTGTGGCCACATCAGACAAACCATTTGCTATACACATGCATACATACATAAATATATACTCATATACATATGCATGCACATATACATATATCTGAATTCCAGTTCACTCTGTGCTGTGTATTCTAGAGCTGCTTTGCTAATTTTGGCTGGCTGTGTGCTTTGCACAAAATTTCTCTTGGAATTTCTGGATAGGATGATGGGATAATCCTAGTTTACCACCTGTGTCCTGTGACTTCCTTTAAAGTTGGATGACTATATGTCCTAGATTGCTTGGAACAATCCCAATTTAGGTCTTTTTTACTAGCATAATTATGAAAAATACCACTTTTCATTCTCAAGTAATTTAGTTTGGATGATAAATTATATGGCCACTTTGTTAAACTATATTGTGATGTATATATACATATATATATATACATGCATACCATTTCAATGTTTTATATATACAGTTCAGTGACATTAATTACATTTATCATATACAACAGTCACTACAATCTGTTTCCAAAATTTTTCCATCACACTTAACAGAAGAAACTCAGTGACCTCTAAGCAATTATTTCCTTTTCTTTCCTGATTGTTGTTGATGTCAGGTGCCATCAGATTGATTCTGACTCATAGCAATCCTATGTACAACAGAGCAAAACACTGCCTGGTCTCGTGCCTTCCTGGGAATCTTTGCTATGTTTGAGCCCATCATTGCAGCTACTGTGTCAGTCTATCTCACTGAGGGCCTTCTTCTTTTTCACTGACCCTCTACTTTGGTGATATCCTCTTTCAGAGACTGGTCCTTTATGTACAAAGTGCATGAGGTGAAGTCTTATCATACTCACTTCCAAGGAACATTGTGGCTTCTTCTAAGACAGATTTATTCATTCTTCTGGAATTCCATGGTATATACAATCTCTTTCACCAACACCATAGTTCAAAAGGAGCTCTGGTGGCATAGTTCCTAAGGCATTTGACTGCTAACCAGAAGGCTGGTGGTTCAAACCCACCAGCCACTCCTTAGAAGGAAGACTGGGCAATCTACTTCTGTAGTGATACTGCCTCAGAAATTCAAAGAGGGGTTGCTATGAGTCAGGATCGACTCGCTGACAATGAGTTTGGTTTTTTTTTTTTTGTATAGTTCAAAGGCAACAGTCTTTCAGTCTTCCTTATGCATTGTCCAGTTTTCACATGTGTATGAGGCTACTGAAGATATCATAGGTTGGGTCAGTCACACCTTAGTCCTCAAAGCAACGTATTTACTTTTTAAGACTTTAAAGTGCTTTTTTGCAGCAGATTTTCTCAATGCAATGCATCGTTTGATTTCTTGACAGATGCTTCTATAAGCTTTGATTGTGGATCCAGGTAAAATGAAATCCTTGACAACTTCAATCTTCTTCTTCTTCTTCTTCTTTTTTTTTTTTTTTTTAAATCATGATGTTGCTTATTGGTCCAGTTGTGAGGATTTTTGTTTTCTTTATATTGAGGTGTAAACTATTTTGAAGGCTGTTATCTCTGATCTTCATCAGTAAGTGCTTCATGTCCTCTTCGCCTTCAGTAAGCAAAGTTGTGTCATCTGCATATCACAGGGTGTTAATGAGCCTTCCTCCAGTCCTGATGCCACATTCTTCCTCATATAGCCCAGCTTCTCAGATTATTTGTTCAGCATATAGATTGAATATGTCTGGTGAAAGGATACAACCCTGATGCCCCTCTTTCCTTATTTTGAACCATGCAGTATCCTCTTGTTCTGTTTGAACAATTGCCTCTTGGTCTATGTACAGGTTCCTCATGAGCACATTGAAGTGTTCTGGAATTCCTGTTCTTCACAATGTTATCCATAATTTATATGATCCACACAGTCTAATGCCTTTATGTAATTAATAAAACATAGATAAACATCATTCTTGTGTTCTCAGCTTTTTGTCAAGATCCATCTGATGTCATCAATGATAACCCTGATTCCACAACTTCTGAATCCAGCTTGAATTTCTGGCAGTTCCCTGTTGATGTAGGGCTGCAATTTTTTTTTTTTTTTTTAATGATCTTCAGTAAAATTTTACTTGCATGTGATAGTAATGATTTTGATTGATAATTTTCACATTCTGTTGGATCACCTTTCTTTGAAACGGACACAAATATGGATCTATTCCAGCCGGTTGGCCAAGTGGCTGTCTGCCAAATTTCTTGGTGTAGACAAGTGAGGCTTCCAACATAGCAACTATTTGTTGAAACATCTCAATGGATATTCAGCCAATTCTTGGAGCTTTGTTTTTCTCCAATTCTTTCAGTGCAGCTTGGACTTCTTCCTTCAGTACCATCAGTTCTTGATTATATGCCAATGCCTGAAGCAGTTGAACATTGACCAATTCTTTTTGGTACAGTGACTCTGTATATTCTTTCCATGTTCTATTGATGTTTCCTGTACTGTTCAATATTTTGCCCATAAAATCCTTCGAGATTGCAACTCGAGGCTTGAATTTTTTCTCAAGTAATTTTAGCTTGAGAAATACCAAGCTTGTTCTTCCCTTTTGGTTTTCTAATTCTAGGTCCTTGCAAATTTCATAATACTTTACTCTGTCTTTTCAAGCTGCCCTTTGAAATATGTTCAGCTCTTTAACCTCATTGTTTATTATATTCACTTTAGCTACTCTACTTTCAAGAGCAAGTTTCAGAATCTCTCCTGACATCCACCTTGGCCTTTTCTTTCTTTCTTGTCATTTCAATACCTTTTGCTTTGTTCATGTATGATATCCTTGAAGTCATACCAGAACTTGGTGGTCTTTGGTTCAAGGCATCACATCTATTCTTAAGATTATATGGAAACCCTGGTAACCCCTAATCTTTAGTCTTTATATATTTTTCTATTCTAGGTATTTCATATAAATGGGGTCATATAAAATTTGCCCTTTGTGACTGATTTATTTTGCTCAGCATGTTTTCAGTATTCATCTATGTTTTACTCTGTATCAGGACTTCATTACTCTTTATGGGAGAGTAATATTCCACAGTATATATATTCCACATTTTGTTTATTCATTCATCTGTTGATGGGCATTTAAATTGTTTCCATGTTTTGGCTATTGTAAATACTGCTACAATGAACAACAAAAAGACAAACAACCAAATTAAAAAGTAGGCAAAGGACTTGAATAGACATTTCACCAAAGAAGAAATACAAATTGCTTACAAACACGTGAAAAGATGCTCAACATCATTAGTCATTAGGGAAATACAAAGCATACCACAATGATATACCACTTCAGTTCCACTAAGAAAATTATTTTTATTTATTTATTTATTTTTTAAAAAACAAGTGTTATTGAGGATGTGGAGAAATTGGAACCCTTGTTCACTGCTGATGGAACTTTAAAATGGTACATCTACTTTGGCAAACATTTTGGTAGATCTTCAAAAAGTTAAACCTAGGGGAGGTGAGGCCAAGATAGCAGACAAGGCATATACTCTTTCCAGACACTCTGTAACAAAGACCCAAGAAACCAAGTGAAATGGTTATGGATGACAATCCTGGAACCAAGAGCTTTAAAGGAAAGGATAAAGAGTAGACCAAATACTGATTAGAGGAAGAGAATGAACGAAAACCATGAATATGAGGCATATGGAACAGTAAATTGCCCGTGGGCCAGCCCCTACACACCATTTTGAATTATTGCAAGCAACATTCCAATCAGGGCTCCACTCTAGATAGCCAGCTCTGCTCACCCAGTGTTAAACTGGCAGCCTTATTGGGGATTGTGAACAGAGAGATGTGATCTTCTTCTGCCCCTTACCCCACACTTCTCAGTAGCCAGAGGAGCAGCCCAACCTCATCCACCTGGGAGCCAGCCACACCTCCCCCAACTGCCAGTGCTATGCTGCTTTTCTCCCCTCTTTTCCTTTTCCTTTGTTTTTCTTCTCAGTTCTTCTGTCCCCTACTTTTTTTTTCCTTTTTTGTTTTCTTCCTTTCCTCCACCCTTCTGTGTTTTTAGATCCCAAGGAGTAGGTGTCCTGCCCCCTCCACCTGTTCAGTCAGCAGCACCCATCCCTACCCCTCCACGGATGGCATTTTGTGCTCTCATAGAGTGAGCCGTGGGTTTCCGCTGCAGCTGTGTTCAGCAACTAGCACTTGAGCCAGTACTGTGCTGCTTTTCTTTTCTTTTCTTTTCTTTCTTTATAGTTATTTCCTCTTCGCCCTTCCTGATTTTTCTTTTTACTCTTTCTCATACTTCTTCTTTATTTAATTATGTGGAGTGGTTGCCCCACCTTCACTCTCTCCTCAGGCATCAGTGCCTGTCTCTGCCCCTCTGCAGTTGACAGTGTGTGCTCCCAGAGACTGAATGCTGTCATTCCACGATAGCCGTGTTTGGCAGCCAGTGCTTGTACCAGTTTTGTGTTCCTTTCTTTTTATTCTCTCTTCAGAGCTCTTCCCTCTTCCCCCCTTGTTTTTTCTGTCTCCTTTTTCCCCACTTCCTCTTCCCCTCCTCTTTTCTCTTCTTCTTTTTCTTTCATTTCAATCCTGGGGAGTGGATGCCCCACTGCCTCCACAATTGGCAGTGCTTGCTCCACAGGCAGTGTGTGATCCTGCAGAGAGTGGCCTTCATGCCCCCCCCACCTCCACGGTAAGCATTGCACCCCTGCTCCTCTGCAGTAAGCAGTATGGCTCATGCAGAATGAGCATCATGTCCCTGCTGCAGCAGTGTTTGGCAGCTAGTGCTTGCACTGGTACTGTGCTGCTTTTTTCTTTTTTTAGTTTGCTTTTCTTTCATTTTCCATTTTGTTTTTCTTTCTTCTTAGTTACTCCCCCTTCTCCCTTG